GGATGCTTCCAGGCTTGGCAGCGGCGCTGGGATCGTTGTGTTCACTCCCAGGGGAACTACTTCGAGGGTGATGGATGAATTTAATACCTGAGATAAGTGTACGGGTTTTTATAGGCGCAGTCTTGAAACTTTCCGATCGCATCTCGTATATGCGGTATTCGATTGCAGTTACACGAGATGAGGAAAATAAGAACTTTCACAGTGGAATGAATATTTTACTTGCCCCTGCTTTTGTAAGAAGCAGAACACATCCACGGGGCATGATATTCGGTTAATTATGACTCGGAACACATGCCGTCCTACAAATTGAGACTCAGCGCGCTCTGCGTGTGTCCGCGATGCTTAGGAATTCGAGAATGTGCGAAAAGCAGGATGGTATGCAATGAAAATACCCTTTTCTCGGAGGTAGAATTTATTTTATTTTATTTTATTTTAACACCACTTTTCTAAAGCAATAAATTGTGAATTTCAATCAAATACCATACATCTGTGCTGTATACAAATATAGTATGAAAGAAGTCCATCGCTTCTGTGTCAGCGGATAGCTTCCAAACTTGGCAGTCATCGCGGTTCGGTATACTTAGTTACACCCGACCGTAATCATCGTTACGTTTCAATCCTGGGAGATATCCGGTTCGAATCTGCCCGAGACTACTCCGGTAAAGACGACAGGATTCTTTTTCCCCTCAGTCGATTACTTCAGACAAGAATACCGCAGTAATAATTTGGTTAGCAAGTTCACACACGAGACTTCCCATTTGTAGTGTAAATTTGCGTGCCTACTGAATATTATAGAATATTTGGTGGCAAACTACAGCTCGAGTTCCGCGTGAATTCAGTTCCTTCGTTCGCGGAAGCCAAGTTCGAGTCCGGCTTAGGCCGGCGAGGAGAACGTTCTGTAAATTGTGCTAAGCGTGAAGCCTTTACTTGCCGGATCATATTGTGACGTGGTGGGTTTAATCGGCGGTGCAGCGCGTTGACAGATGCTGTATGTAGTTTTCAATGATTTGGGCTCTCTGGTTGTAAAAGTTGTGTTGTCAGACAGTACATAGAAGATGACCGGTAGTTTTGTAAGGAAGGTAGGTGATTGAGCGAATAGTAGGTCACGTGGTGGGGATGTGTAACGCCGATGTTGAGAAGAAACCTGTCGGCATTCTTGCAAACTCGTATCTGTCGCATTCACATTTCGTAGAAAATAATTGTTTTCACCCCATACGTTCCTGCTAATAATATTTTTAATGGTTCTTATTAGATTGAAGCATCTCTTCGCCTAAGTGAGCTGAGCAGTAAATGCAAATTGGCGGCTCAGCGCGGTGAATGTCGCGCACTTTCGGTCCAGTAAATCTGTGGCCAATCTCAGTCCTTTTCTGTTGCGTTCTTAACCTTCTTTCGAGAAGAATTGAGTGTACATATCCCGCCTGACCGATTCTTTTGTTTGTTTCAGAGGTCACACGAGAAGTAGCCAGGGTACAGGCTTCGGGGAAGCCGTTGCCCAAGGAGAGTAAATATGTCGACATCTACCGGGAGAAGCCGATCCGTGTTGCAGTTAAAGTGCTAGTTCCCATTAAGGAGCATCCTAAGGTATGGCGTCATTTATTGCCACATATTAATTCTCTGCCTTTTGCTGGGACAAGGCGCGTTTACATGTTTGAAGGTTTTTGGTATACCGTATTCGAAATATATAACTCAAATAGCGTTTTTGATTGCTGACATGCATCCTGCTATATTATTTCATTGCATTTAGGGACAGTGAAATATTGGCATGCAGTCGATGGTCTATTTCCAACTCGCGTGCTGCAGTTTAATGTCTTGCCTTGCGCGCTTTCACCCGCCCACGATGACCTTTGCAGAGATTGTCGCGTATACTAAACCGTTTGTGTCGCTTGCTAGTAGCATCTTGGGTGCTGAGCTTCAGTTGACGCCAAAAATCAAAGCGAATGGTCGCAGTGTGCAATTCTTCCTACATCTCGCAAGAAACTGGGAAGCTAACACCGGAGGAGGAGTGTTCGTGTTAACCGTGTTAGCCCGGCCAACACTTCAAAACGCAAATTAAGGAAGTCGCCTGTCTTACGCTAATTTGTTCTCCATTCGCTGGAACACTGACAACCTTACTTATTTACTCCCTGGAGCCGAGTCCGTTCTGAGAAACCAACGGTCGCTTAGCCACTCAAGAAATTTCCAATATTTTATGGAACCCGGACGTTTACGACTGTGTTCACAAGAGCCCGCCATTTTCCTTCGCTCAAGTCGTTCCAAAGAATCCGTCCCAGTCTGTGTAACATTTCGTAACAAGATTTTATTCTTACGGGGATGAGTATCACCACACCCAACCCCCAAGCCGGAGTACCACCCGTTGTCGGCTGTACGCTACTGTTTATTCAGTATATTCTCAGCTACCCTCCATATATGGAGGCCGTGTTCTCCATCCTCAACCTGGCTGAGGATGGGCCTTGCCGTGGTGATGCAGCACAACCTTTGAGATAAAATGCATCTTTAGCCAGCTGCAGCCAGGCGTCCTCTTTGCGAGCTCAGGTCTTGAGTAGTTTTTGGTGATACGCTTTGATTGAAGCATGCTTCCGTTGTATCAGTTATTTTAGGCCTGTTATAATAATTATTGCCTTTATTAGTCATTTTTCTGAGCCAGAAAAAAGCCTTGGGTAGCTTCGAAACGCGAATTGAAATTATAATTAATTCCTTACTGTGTGTGTTGTGTACCAACTTCATTAGAGAACGTGTCACGATTTTTCCTGAGTTTCTGTATGTACTGGAAGGTGGGGGGGACAGAAGTCCGTCTTCAGCCCTTGTACTGCAATCACTTAGTCCGGGGAAGGAAGATTTCACAAAAATCTTTATATCCAGGACTGGAAATGAATGACGCTCCACATTAGTGGGAAAGCCCTTGTAAATTACCAACGCATTATAACGGTCTTAGCTACAGTTGAGGTTTGGAATTCGTTGCTGGAAACGAGAGTCGTGGCACTAGAATAACTTGTTTAAAGCAACGCTTTTGAAACAAGTAGCCTGCATCTGCGATCGTCTGCGTCCATTTTCAACCCTGAATATCCTGTAATTGTCTTCTTGGAACTGACAGCCTGTCTGAAAGTGTGGCGATACGGAAACCCCTGCAAACAATTAGGAATTTTCTTAGTGGCATGCAAACAGTTGATTACAAAGCTCTGCACAAGACGAGCGGATTGGTTGGTACGTGATGAGCCTGCGGAAAAGCCTTAGGTGGTGACTTAAAGAGACAAATGCGTAAATTCTTTATCTCCGAGTTAAAAGGCGGCTCACGAATTGTCTTCCTCCCAGAGAACAATTTTTGTATCTGTACACGTGCATGGTGGGCCTGCTGTAGTTGCAGCGTAAGACATACTTTTCTTAATTTATATTGTAGGAAGTTATAAATTGAAGACAAAACAAAAGACCTGATGCATATTATTGGAAATTTTCTTTCTTGTATTAATTAAAAGAACGTTTCGGGAGCTGGCTCTGCTTTTGTCATCGACGTCTGAAATGTTTTTGTTAATCGGTAGGGTTGTCAGTATGTTTGTTGTGTATGGAATGCCACTAATTCAGACCGATGTTTTGAAATTATTGATATCATGTTCCGACCGATAGAAAGTAAACAGAAAAAAATAGGTATTTCAGTTTTTATTGACGGGGTCGCAAAATCTAAAAAGCTCAAATGAGTCATAACCCTCACTTTCTCGTGTTGGAACAGAAGTTTTCATGAACACAGTGTTCATCTTAGTCCTCGCATTAACAGCCGTGAAGTGTTTTAGATGTTTTTATTCTTTCTCTGAGATGTAGTTTTATGGAACAAATTTTCGATTTAATGAAACTGGCCCACATAGTTTTATATATATACGAGATATCACTAACGGGGTCCGCAGTGGCCTCGCGGTCTGAGACGTGGGCCTTGTGCCGCTTGGTCACTGGGACCGTGGATTCGAATCCCACTCAAGCCATGGATGAGTGTCCGCGGTTTTCTGTGTTGTGCCGATCCCTCGTCCAAGGAGTCCTACCGAATGTCTATAGATCGAGCCAACGAAAAGTTGGGACCCGCAGTGCTCAGGCACTTGAAGAACGGGTCGTTCCCAGTATCCCAGTACATCACTAACGCCGAATAGTCCCACTTGCGACATTCATCACACAACCGGTCCTAAACAGTAGTCCTGATGTAAGCTCCGTGCATCCTTCCAGTGGCCTGATGCAGTATACAAAATTCAACGTCGCCGATCACTGCTACTGCCTCGAAGATACGTAAGAGACGGGAGTTTCCTCGCATTTGCAAAGAAACGTGGATTGTAACTTAAATTATGGTCCCATCATTGTCTGTCGGCGTTCAGCAGTTTTAATCGTGATGTTTCTAAAGTGGTTTACATGCTACTAAAGTAAATAAGTCCTGTGGTGAGGCGTAAGTTGGTGGTACTACATAGCTGGGGGTGCTAACATGTCATTTGTTGCGTAAATAAACAACGGAACCTTTTATTTTTAAGTTGATGGTGATATTTGAAGTTCTTGAGGCTTGATTTATGAAGATGATTGTTTTATGGATTGTTGAGTCGTGCTTTCTGGTAGAATTTTACCGACGTGTAAGAGTTGCTTGCTGTCTCTATCGTCTGGGTGTTTAGTAAGCCGCGCAGCGTAAAAAATGGTTGGTGTTTTATACGACCAGAATGGCAGCTCACTGATGTGTCGCTTTATGTCTTTATTAAGTTTTTTCTTGTATTGTGCTTTCACCCATTCTATAAAAATAATGCGACTGTGATGTAAATCGTCTTTGCCTCAGCAGGATGGCAGTTATCGCTTCATAATGCGTTCGCTTCAGCTTCTGTGCTTATTGAAAGTGTACGGCGGTTGGCAAAACTTGTGAATCTCTTGGGAGCATGAGAGGAGTGGGGTAAAGAATTTTCTGTTTTTTGTCAAGAAATTTGTCTCGCATCCCATCCTTCCATTTGGCACTCTTACCTAAGAAGATATTTTTGTTGTATGCGTTTTGAGAAATAAAAAATAAATGCTTCGTTATAAGCACGGAGACTGTTTGTCATTTATTCTGCCATTTGTTGATGCGTAGTCGCTAAATGCGCACAGACGAACATGAAGTTTCCGCGACAAGATGGATGTGTTCTGGGTTGTAGTGCCACACAGTCTGATAGAAATTTGCCCTTCATTTCAGAGGAACTTTCTACCAGACTACACTTCGCTACAACCCAGAATAAAGCATGTTTATACTCGCCGCCGTGAGAACCTCAAACATTACCTCTTTACGGGCTTTTACGAGTGATCTTTACAGATACATTTAGAACTAAACAGACCTAATTCAGAGTTTATGTATTTTACTGTTAAGGCATCGGATTCAGTTTGCAGCTTAAGTTGGTAACGTATGTAATTTATCTATTAAGGAAAAGACTAGTTACTGAGCGAGTTTCCTAGACTCATCTGCATTCATATTCGGCTTTGTGGGTAAAGGCATGACAATTCACTTGGATCGACAATTTCCTGACATCGCACATTGTTTTGTTTGCCTAACGGAGCAATCTCATGGGATACGAGAAGGTTCTGAAACACGTTTTTGTTATTCCATATTTATCACTGGTTTCAACACAGCATGACTTATGTCGCATTTGTGCGTATGTCTAGGAGACAAATGCTGCCTCTGCCATTAATGTTCCGCTCATTTAATTTTAACTGTAGCCTACGTTTTCCATTGTGTTTTGAAGAAGGGTTTGGTGAATGCATTTGTCTCTGCAATCGCGTTGTATGGAGACGTAAAATAGTCCTATTTTTAATAAAGCGTATAGGCCCCTCGGTATTGTAGTTCATATACCAGAGTTTTAACTTATTGGAGGCCCGGATTTACCGCAGTCAGGTAAATCTCGCGAGAAATGGTCTTTGATTGGAAATTCTTAAATATCTGTAATTTATTCGCATTGACAGGACGCACTTGGAAAAGGAGTAAGAATTGCGTTTTATTAATAAGTAGTCTAAACACGGTATTCTGAACTCTGATTAGCAATCTTAAGGTGTGAATAATGCGTATTAGATACATGTAATGTATAATGGTCCGTATTCGACGTTCCATAACCCAATTTTTAGTAAATTAAAAATTCGTCTGCGCGGGCCCCAGTACTTGACCGTAATGTATTTTATAGTTAATAGTATTAGAAAATACAGAATTGTTTCGTTCTGAAACCGAAGCTTGTATAAATAATATTTAAGAATTTATTGCGTACCGCGAAGAAAACAACTTTTCGCCAGTAGTACTTATTTCCATTCTAGGAAATAATCCCTTTTTACAGTGAGAATCGTACGAAATCCATAAATACAAAATGAAGTTATTAATTGTTAAGCAGGTGAGACTTTTATCATTGTGCTTTAAAGGGCTGAATGTCGTGTTATAGACTAATGATATTAAATACTGGTAGGTTCAAATGAATTATCTGTGTGGTTTTATAATACAAGATTCTGACTAAAGTAAGATGTCATTTACGTCTTGGAAACTTCTTTTGGCGTTGCAAGACGTGTAGTGTCGACAGATATATTATTGGCTGTATATATTGAATCTTGAGATGGATTCGACTAAAGACCGCTGTTATAACAAGACTGCACAAATGGAGAAAAGGAATAACTGATGGAATTTTAAGTCCCTTCTCGCCGCGTAATTAAAACTGTTATTAGGGAAACGCTGGGACTAGAAAGGGGTCCAAGGCTAAAGAGCTTTCGGTTAAAGAAAAAATGAGATTGAGTGATTTCTCCTCATGTTAATGGGACGACTTCTAAGCGGGCAAAAAATTTCCCTCTTCATTCAGAAATAGAGGCGTCATTCCGGCTTTGGAAGGCTTGTGTCTTATCTATAATAAATGGCGTCTCCTATTTATCTTTGTCGTCTGATTCTGGCAAGAAATGTTGGCGGACAAGGAGAAAAGTCGTGTTTTGATGGATGGGTTACAAGTTATGTTTTTTTTAAAGTGTGTGGACCGCAGTTGAGTTTCATTGTTGAATGTTTCATTTCCTTCTGTGGGTCTAAACGACCAAGACGTTGTAACGGACGCTTTGTAAGTCATTGCTTTTTCGTGGCTTTAATCTTATCTTTATGTAAGGTAGGTTGTAGACTTTACAGTACAGGCTGAGCACAAACGTTTACAATTTAAAAATGATACAGAAAAAAAATGCGACGTACTCAGAACTTCACACCCACTCCAGTCGATAGAAAAGCTCTCAGGGTTTTTTTCCGAATGATCTGGGTGTTTGTCGTTGGGCGCCTCCGTTACGTGCATCTAGTTTTGAAGATGACTAGCCCACAGCAGAGGAGTTGGTGTGTTCTGCAGTTAGTGAAGAGAGGATATGTAACAGCCGTGCAACGTGCATTTTGCACACAATTTTACATGGAAACACCCAGCAGAGTATCCATTTACGCCTGGTACAAGACATTCGTATCACAACTGTCAGGAGTTTCCATCACTGGGGACACTTTGCACAGAGTTTGTGACGAGTTGGATCAACGTCTCGGCATCTGCCGTGTTACTCGCGGAGCAGATATCGAATCTGTGAGGTGTGCACAAAACGTTGATAGTTTCTTTTTTCTATCGACTGGTGTAGATGTGAAGTTCTAAGTATGACGCATTTGTTGTCTATATTATTTTGAAAGTGTAAAGGTAGTTTTTGCTCGCCCTGTATTTGTTGTCTGCTTTTTAGTTAATGCAACGAACCTGTTCGTCTCTCCGCATGTTTCATCTCCGAAGCTGCTAGTACATTGCTGTTACTTTTGACGTGGAGGGTCTGCACCAATGCCTGAAATAGACTAAAGCTTTTTAACGTTCCCCAAAACGGCTTTTTCTACAATAATTGGCCCACAACAAAATATAAATATTATTTTGTGCGATTTGAGGAGGTTCTCGTATTGGTCATCATATCGATTTCGGTCTTTTAGGCCTGAAGATGGAGGCAGTTTGCTTGTCCGAGACGTTGGGTCTACATGGCGTTGCAACTCTAAAGACCAACGTCTACACGGATGTAATTGAATATGAAACTTTAATTTAAAATATTTTTGGCTGTTGAGAAATGTTTGAAAACTACAGTGTGATATCTGCAGTAAACAAGGCTATTGAGATATTGGCAAGGAACTTACTTCGAAAATGTGTGTAATCCACATTTGATTATGATATTCCACTTTTGTCTTCAAATCGTGATATACGTAAGCCCACTTGGTGCTTGGTCGTTCTGTCTTCACAGATCACGGTGTGTGGGGAATGGATGTCCGATCACAGTAATTAGGTTGGAGGAGTAGAATGTGGAGTAAAAGCAGGATTAGCCGAACCTGTAGGCACACAGTTTGACGGCTACTAGTGTTGCAGTAATAAACGTATGTGTGGATGGAGTGATCCGTATGTTTTGACGTTTACAGTGCGGGGTGGGGAAATGGACACAACGTGCGAATTTTTTTTTTTTAGCGTGTGATGCAGTTTTTATATTCGGCTCTGAAGTAGCCGTAGTTTCCACCCAAGGATTTAACTACACAACTTTATTTTCTGCTTCGGGGAAACATTGGCTCAAAATATAATCCTAATTATGCGTCGAATCTGAGCTGTACATTTTTATGATTGACTACCGCATGCATATTGAAAATAACGCATTTGTTTGGAACGTTCTGGGGTGCTTATCAGTCTGATTTTTAGTATAATTAGTTCTAAAGTGATGTTTTACTTTTCGTTCAAAAAAACCTGTTGTTCAGAAACGTGCAGTACATCTGCTTTAGTCTACTTGAAGACAGTCATTGATGTGCAGTTTCAGTATTCTTGTTGCAGGCTATTTCGTTGATGTTAAAGAAAATATTGTGAGAGAGAAAGTTTTGTAGTTAATGAAGCCTTTGCGTTGACAATTATAAATCAATAAGTCATCTACATAATGCAAATAGATGCCAATTTCTTATGTGCATTGGAGTGTGGTAGACGGAAGAGGGAGAACGCTAACTAAATTACCCTAGTTTGTGAGTAAAGCAATTGAATAGTTTGAGGTTTTAATTAAAAGGGAAATCGTGCGACAGTTTGTAGCTGCCTTCTGATTCGCTTAATCAAGGCAGCCCCCTGCTTCTCAACCCCCGGATACGCTTCGTGTTTGAAGACTTTTCTCTAATTCCGTGACTTTGCACTAGCTGATGGTTTCGTTGGCAGAATTGTAATGCTCAGATTGGTAGGTGGCACAAGGTGAAGATAGAGCTGAATATAACTGTCTTCTGGGTCTGAGTCTGATAAAAGTTGGCCATCGTTTCGATTGTGCTTGCTGCATCCATCACCAGGGCGATGAGTCATCGCCCTGATGATGGAACCGTCGGTAAACTTCTACCAGAATACACGGCGCAACAACCCAGAAGACAGCCATCTTCAGACGTTTAGCATCGACTGCATTTATGCTAGTAATATTTGAAGGACGTTTGAAGTTGACGGGCATCATGCAGGTCTTAAGGCTTTGTAGTCACCGTCAACAAATTGCATGCGAGTGGAGACATCTGAGAATTCGCAGCGTAGTAAAGCTATAACAACGCTGTAGAGGTGACGTAGAACAGCGCAGTAAGGTGTGCAGTCCTTTCGTGGCCCTGAAGCATGAAATGTGGTGGCCTGTTGTGCGTCGTTTCGGAGAACGTATCTTTAATCTTACGTTTACATAGTACAAAGGGAAATCCCATAATTTTTACCATTTTTTCGTGTATGCGCTGTCTGTTTTATTCATAGCATTTGCATAACTGCTTTTGAGAACGTGTAGCCTATGGGCTGTGCCCTGAAGGTTATCTATACCCCCGATCTTTCGTATCAATAGAGGCATTTTTAGCTGGCTCGTGCATCTTAAATGTTCTGTGTGTCTGAATTGTAAATAATGACCCGTTTAGCATTTTAGAATACGAAGTTGGCGTGAATGCATCACACATGGCACCAGTAGGAGTATTTGTATTCAACGGTTGCAAATATTAATAGGCTTGCGTCGTTAAGAAAGTATTACGAAAAGCCGTTGAATCTTTTCGAGACGTTGGCAGAGTCTGAAATTTTAAAATAAATGCGTTGTATTTTTGCGCGTTTGCTGCACATGTTGATCCTGTACTCCGCCAGAAGGATCCTGTTTGCACGCTTATACTATATTTGGTAATTGTGGGTTATCGAGACAAATCGCTTTAAAAATAGGTTAGGTTAGGTTAATGTGTGTGGATAAATGACATACACTTGAAAGTTATTATATTTTATTTCAATAAATGACAACTAACCTAACCTAACCTAACCTAATGTGTCCCGATAACCCACAAGTACCCTATTTTTTAATGATTACTCTTTTAATATCCTGTCTGCGTCTTCCAGGTGAGCTCTTTCTTTCTTGTTGTTCTCTTAAAGCCGTGTATCGACTGCGCGCGGCTGCCGCGCGAGGCAATGTTCGTTGCTTTGCCTCGCAAAATCGATACCATGTTGCCGCGCGTGGCATAACGAACACTGCCGCGCTCGAACTTGGCACGCGTCGAGCCAAATCGGAGCGGTTCTTTGTCCCGCGGCAAAGGGATTTCAGCGTGCTGTGCTCTCTCAATTGAGACGGTCTTGTGGCGTTCCGTCGTAGCAAAATGGAGAATGAAAAGTGTGTAGCTCTCATACAGATTTATAAATCTAAAGAGGTGTTGTGGAATTCAAAAATTGTTAATTACCTTAACAAAAGTAAACTCTTGGCTCGATCAATGAGGTTATGTGTTCGAAATCCGATAATGACGTTCGAGTAAAATTTTTAACTGTATCCTCCACAAATTCAAATGTCATATCTCGCATAAGTCTATTTCCATATTGCATTCGCTGACGATACAATTCCTTAATCCACCAACGCACCTTTCATTTCGGTTTCTTATTTTCTTCCATAATGTTGAACATCAACATAAAGGCAGCCGTTGCACGTGCTGTATTCGTGGTGATCTTGCGAGAACTGACGAACAGCGTCGATCAACGGCCGAACACGGCTGCCGCGCTCGATGCTGGTAACCACGAACACGGTTTTAAACAATAAACGAACGAACGAGTTTGCCGCGCACGAACAGCTGCGCGCGGCAGCCGCGCGCAGTCGATATACGGCTTAAGATTTTGTATGCAGTTTTCATTTCCACCGTCTGTCTATTTTCCTTCATTCGACCACCTTGATATTTGTTAAGACTCAATTTGAAGCTTCTCATACAATTTCCGCCACGCTCTTATTTCCTGTGTCTTAGGTTCAAGTACTCTTCTCATCGCATTCTCATGTACTATTAATCAGTTTCCTCCTGTCCCCCCACCTTCACCCTCGTAGCCTATTGAATGTGTAAACTGCCTAAATGGTCCATTCAGAGTCCGTGGGGTGAAATAATGCAATTGTATTGCACTTTCAAGCTCTCAAACGTTTCTCTTTTCTTGCAGTTTAACTTCGTCGGAAAATTACTAGGACCAAAGGGAAATTCCATGAAGCGACTTCAGGAAGACACTATGACCAAGATGGCCGTCCTCGGCCGCGGTTCTATGAAGGACAAACAGAAGGTAAGGATGTCCTTGCGCCGCCTGACGTCTTTTGAGTTAGTTAACCACGAGGTCTTCTTTAATTGAAGGTCGCTATAGATGGACCAGCTTCGTAATTTGGAAATGTTTAATAAGTAACATTTCGTAGCCGTAAAAGTACAAAGTACGTTTTCACGTGGTTTTATCTAACTTTATTTTATTTATTTTTCTGTTTGCAAAATCCTATTAACATTATGTGAGTTTACTGTACATCATATAAAATCTGTGTTTCTAGTCTGCACATTTCTTGTTCTGAACATTTATGTGCCACTCTTCAAGACTGAACAAGAGGTTTAGAAAATGAAACTTTTGTTGCCATCATTGGACCGTTTCCACGGACGGACTGCTCCTCAGAGGTGGTCCATATATAATGACGTATAACTTAGTTGATTTAAAAATTTTTAGCTGTAGTTTAATCACTGTGGTTTAATGGTATTTTGAATTTGTAGGCAGAATTAAGTCAAATTTTTAGGGAGCTTTAGAGTACGTAGCTTCTAAGGTTCATTGGAGGAGAAAAAGTGATCCAATCATAGAACCTGGTTGCTTTTGACCAAGTGAACAATGGACCAATTACAAAAATATGATGTACAGTTTTCTTCTCTGGTGGCATTTGTCAATATTCGGCTTCCTGTTTGATCAGATTGGGTGCAAAAAAATCAGAAACAAAAAATTCAGCTACTTATTTTGAAGTTGTCCGTCTGTA